CATTCTATGATTCTATGATAGTTGAAAAACATTTGTAAGCATTTCTAAGGTTACAAACAATCAGAACTTTAAAAGATTCACAAAGTCCAGATTAAAATTCTTGTAAGCTCATTTAATATATTTACTTATGTTGCTTGGGTTTTAGTAACAGAGATGTTCCTAGGAAGTGAGTCCTAAGATTATCTATTTGTACAATTTCTTACTACAAGTATGTGTTATCAACAGCATCTGGACTACCAAACTAACACAAGATTTATATGGCCAGTAACAATCCCAACAGCAGAAAGTTTAATCTTGTTTTTCAAATTTTGAAATTTCTACTCTCTGTAGAAATTCAGTGGACAGAAATAGTTGAAGTTGTTTTTTCATTTCCAATGTCTTATTTTGCATGTCTGAGAACAGTTTTCTTTGAAAGATCTTAATTATTTTCAGTCCTGCATATTGGCAACTACTACATTATATAAAAGATATAAAAGGTATTTCTCAAGATAATTTCTATTCCATTTTGGCTTTTCCCACCACCCCTTTGGGATAATATTTTAATTGCTAAAGCTCAACAAGGTTTTATGTGGAAAATTTCACTGTTTTTTAAAGGAGTACAATGTATCTGTCTTCATACCTGTATATCCTTTTTACCTGTGTCTGTAACAAAGTCATTAGATGTTCATGCTGGTACATGCTGTGTGGGGTTTTTTTTTTTTTTTTTTCCTTTTTTCTCTTGAAAGAGACCAAGTTAACTGATTTTTGAGAGCTTAAGTTGCTGGGGTGAGATACTTACCTGTTACAAAATATTACTGGTACACTGATTTTTATCCTGTTACAGTAATTCAGTAACTGATGACCTGAGTTTTCTTGTGCAAAGCATATGGCTCTCTTAGAAGCAAGCAAACACACTCAGCGTGTGTTCTGTCTAGTAACAGAAGGTAATGCAAAGTCTGCTTAATTAGAAATACAGAAGTATCTCAAGAAGCACCAGTGAAACATCCCTTAGACCTGACAAAGCAGGATAATAAATTATCTTTCCAAGCATAAATATTTGCATGTTTCTTGGTAAATGGTTTAGCTCTTTTATTTCCAGGGCTTAAAGGCATCTGTAGCAGCTGAATAGTGCAACATAGTGATATTGCTGGTGAAAGAGCAAAGCTTATTTCTGTACATGCAAATAGAATATTGCACAGGGGATGCGTTTCCTGCCCACATGCTATTTTGTTACATGGTTAGATTATTTCATCTTCACTTAAGCTGTCTGGACGTGCAACCATTAGTTTGTATTCATCAGCTATTTATACAAAAGGTGCCTATAAATTTTGTAGACATCCTATTTTGTGTGGGCTCTTGAAAATGTGGCCCTCTGTGCAAAGATACCCATCATAAAGCTGCTACTAATACAGGGACTGGAGGATGTTTTAAAATCTATTTCTGACTTTTGTTCTGTAGTTCTGTAGACACAGTTAGAGACCCTGAGAAAGGAATGGAAGGAGAATGAAGTAGAATATGCTGTTTTTTGGAAAAACCTGGTTCAAATGAAATACTCTGCATTGTAGAGTCACATGAAGACTTGTTCTCAGCCACTGCACGAAGACACGTTTGGTGGACATCTGAAAGTTGGTTTAGCTCAGATTGCTGCTATGGAAATCACACGGGGAAACCACAGAGACAACAAAGCTGTGATCCGTTATCTGCCTTGGCTTTACCATCCTCCTTCTGCAATGCAACAGGGGTGAGAATGCTTTTCCACAAAAAGGAATACTAAAATGAGTTAGAAATCTTCACAAAATTCTATGTTTATTGCCAGGTTTCATAGATAAGACCTGCAGTAGGGAAGGGTGGCCGTGAGACATTGAAACAGCTGGTGAGCAGCTCCCCGATCCTTAACTGAGGAGTTCATCAATGCAATATTTAAAGTACATGCCAATGGGACAGTGAAGGCAACTTTATTGGCTTGATTGGTGTTACCCTGGAAATGAACGTGTTACAAATCTAGATACAGACAGTGAAAAGCACACAGGTACTTGATCAGTCCTAGAGTTACAGAAAATCTGTTGGGAATTACAGAGAATACAAAGCTAAATTACCTTTGAAATTATGGAGTACAAATAAGTGAAAATGGTAAGTATAAGCCTGTTGATATGATGATAAAAGTACTAACTTTACTCTTTCCTGACAGGCCCAAAGAGTTCATAGAATGTGTGTCTCACATTCGTTTGCTGTCCTGGCTACTTCTGGGGTCTCTGACACACAATGTTGTCTGTCCGAATTCTCCATCATCTTGCATGCCTATTCCACTGGATGCGGGTTCACAGATTGCTGACCACCTTATTGTTATTCTGATTGGATTTCCAGAGCAGTCAAAGGTAAGGGATTCTGTGTTTTAAGTGGAGATGTGCTACATAATGGCCTTATTATTGCAAACATTTATTTCTTTGTAAGAAAAAGGGAGGGGTAAAACCTTGTTAAAACCTGGGATCTAGGGAGAGAAATCTCTGTAGTTTTTCTTGCATAGCTGCCTGTTCATGCATAGAAAACTGGTGATGAAATCGCTACAACTGAGTTTGAGATTCAACTATTTCAAAATATCTCGGCACAGGAGTGAGGAAGGAAAACCTGAATTTCAAGTTGAAGCTTTAGCAATAACCATCTCTGTAGCAGATCTCTAGAAAGTATTTTTTTCTAGTTGTATAGTAGAATTGGCTAACTTATAAATAATGTTATGATCAAAAGTTAATTACAAACAGCAATGGTTAAGCACAACTTTTTTTTCTCAAGGCTCTCTGTACAAGAAGAGTTGTTGCAAGTTGTAAGCCATTTGTGACAGTAGTTTAACACAGATAGAACAGCAGTCTTTGGCACCAGCCAGGGTTTTATTAGCACCAGAAGCAGAATGATCACACATTTATCTTGTACATATAATCTCCCTTTGTTTCCTCTCACCCAGCCAAGACACTGGTGCTTCTCATTCATTTCTTTGGCCTTTTTTTTGCTCTTTCAAATGCCTCTTTCTGGTTACCAAGCAACCATTGCAATGTTTGGTGCAGTCCTACTTCCACAAAGCATGAATTGCTGTTGCACTTGCAAATTGAGAAAACATCTCTGACCAGAAGCATCTTTCTTGTAACAAAGTAGTTAATGTCCAGCACTCCTGCAGGCTCAGACATGTAGTAGCCAAGAGCCATGTCTGAGTATGCAAAATGAATTCTCTGTTAGCTTTTCAAAACTTGCTTTCCTTGACTGTGAGCAGTTCTGTCCTAGCAAGGTAGAAATGGATGTTGGATTAACAGATGTAGTATGTATGGCAGCCTTCCTTCCAGGTGATCAGAATCTGAGTGACTTACCCCAGCAGCATCTTTGAAATGCAGTCATACATGCCAGACCCTCCAGGCCTTCCACAGACTGTGGTGGTGTTTTCCATCAAGAAGGTCTCACGACTAGTCCCAAATAACTGTTCTGCAAAACTAACCTTCCCTTTAAAGGCACTGACCTTAGTGCCATACACTAGGCTTGCATGGGAGTGTGCGTTTGCAAATGCAGTTTTTAGTCTGTAAATATTAGAACAGTTTTTAAACATGGAGAAGATGTTATCAAGTGTCCTTGACTTACTAGTTCCTGTGGGAGGGAAATGTGGGAAAGTGAGGGGTGAGACTGCACAGTGGGATGCAAGACAGAGTGGGATACATGGCTTTGAAAGCCTCTGCGCCATATCCTAATACACTTACTTAAATAAACATTTTCCTTTATTTTCTGTTTCTACAGACATCTGTTCTGCACATGTGTTCCCTCTTCCATGCATTTATATTTGCTCAGCTTTGGACAGTGTATTGTGAACAAACAGCAGTAGCTCCGACAGTCCAGAATCAGAACGAATTTAGCTTTACAGCAATCCTTACAGCCCTGGAGTTCTGGAGCCGAGTGACACCTAGCATCCTACAGCTAATGGCACATAACAAAGTGGTGAGTCACGTGCTGGGTACAGGGTTAGTGCAGATTAAACTCCGAAGCCTTGGCTTTGGTTCAGTGTTCAGTGGAATGCATCAGACTATGAATCAAAGTCATAAAGCAACTTTGCTTTTGAGAAATTAAAGGGAAAGCTAATTAGTAGTGGCTTAACCTTGCAGTGGGCCTGAAAAAGGATCTAGCCAGGATCTGCCTGAAACAGAATTAAGAGCTGGATTCGCTGCTTGGTGGGTTAAGGGCTCCCTGCATCAGGCCTCATTTTATCTATCTTCCTGCTCTTCACAGCTGTCCTATTCTTTCATTTGGCTCTGCCTTACAAGAGCAAGTTAAGTGTTTTAGGATAATTCTGTGCATATCCATTTGAATATTTTTTACAACATGATGGTGAAAAATTACACGAATGCTGACCCTTGACTACTCATGATCCATTGGTTACTCATCAAAAATAAGCTACACAAATACCTCTGGAAACATTTTTGAGTAATGAATGACTTCAAGGAGGTATCTCTAGAGAGAAGGTTTGAAATGTTCACTTGTATTGGGTGTGCGTGGCAAGGTTTTGGTAGCAGGGGGGCTATAGGAGTGGATTCTGTGGGTAGCTGCTAGAAGCTTCCCCCATGTCTGATGGAGCCAGTGCCAGCTGGCTCCACGTTGGACCCATTGCTGGCCAAGGCCAAGCCCATCAGTGATGGTGATAACACCTCTGGGATAACATGCATAAGAAGGGGATAAAACTGAAGAAAGAGAATTTTTAGCAGAGTGAGGGACCAGCTCTGCAGACACCCAGGTCAGTGGAGAAGGAGGGGTAGGAGGTGCTCCAGGTGCCGGAGCAGAGATTCCCCGGCAGCCCGTGGTGCAGCCCATGGTGAGGCGGGGTGTGCCCTGCAGCCATGGGGGGTCATGGGGAAGCAGAGACCCATCTGCAGCCCAGGGAGGACCCCACACTGGAGCAGGGGAATGCCCGAAGGAGGCTTGTGACCTCATGGGCAGCCCATGCTGGAGCAGGCTCCTGGCAGGAGCTGTGGCCCCGTGGAGAGAGGAGCCCAGGCTGGAGCAGGTTTGCTGGCAGGACTTGTGACCCCAGGGGGACCCAGGCTGGAGCAGCCGCTCCTGAGGAGCTGCAC